GCAAACAGGAAACAAATCACGTTATATTTATATTTTTATTGACTAATACTTCACCCACTAACCACCTCCACCACCTGATTCAATAACTCCTCTCCTTCCTTCTCGTAATTTCAGCTTGAACTTCTTGTTCCAACAAAAATCCAATTGATTCAGTTGATGCCTTATCCAAGAGTGAGATTCAGAATTTAAATAACTAAGAATCATGCATGCTGACTGCAACTAAAAACAATGCAGAAGGTCCTGTAAATTCCTTTTAGGACACATTGCACAAAACCACCTTAATCGCTTCTCCATAGTTTTGAGGTTGCATTTTAGCAAATAATAAAAATACTGTGCTGTGCTTGCAAACCTGACAACCAAGCCCACGAGCTGAAAAGCGTGTAAAGGTGATATTGGAGGATTATTATTTTTTTTTTCCCCTCCAAAATTTTTGTTCATTTTCAATTACCAGCTGCACAATTAAACTGGTCTGGTTTTATGCTTAGAAGACCCAAAGGCTATGGAAGAAAAGGTCATGCATTACCATTCAGCAGGAGCTGGAGGCTAATTGTAAAGTTTCTTAACAATGAAAACAATGGGGTTCTCAGCCACTTACTACCATGGAGGAAACTGATGGTATTTTTCTGAAGCTTGGATTCCACTGTATTTTGTTCCACAATATGCAATTTAACTGTCCCACCTCTGAAAATGGGAGGAGAGAAAAGACTGTATTGTTTTCCAGTGCTGCTCACACTAAAATAAGAGTCATTTTAAGATCTTCCCTAGAGATTCGAGTCTATATATTTAGCATTAGAAGAAGGAAAATAGAGCATAACTGCCAGCTTGAGGAGAGAGATGATGAAGCATGCTTTCTCTCTAGTGTTTCCCACATCACAGATACAGTCAATGAAACTAGGTGCAATTCTAAAAACACTTCTTTGCTCAACAGGGTTTACACAAATACTCAGCTGGGTAAGAGTAGGCAGTATGAGGATCCGGAGGTTTAATCTTATTCTAGATCCATGCTGATCCTGTGTTCTGACCTAAGCATTCTTGTTCCAATAACCATTTTTCCCTTAACAAAGCAGTGACATTATTTTTCAATATTTTTTTTAATTGAATATTTAATAGTAAATTAAATGTACACATACTTATATATACATGAACTAACGGATAACATTAGAAGATAAACTCACAGGATGAAACAAGCTCAAACAGTACAATATTATTGGTTTTAGGAAAACATAAATAGATACATAGTCTATATGGATGATACTTGTGAAAGACCATCTACAGACACTCCCAATAACATGCAAAGGAGTTATCTTTTAGCAACACAAGATATTATTACTATAGTGAGGAACCCAGCAGGGAGGAGGAGGGGGGAATTGGGGCAGGGAGGAGGATGGGGGACAGGACCGGGAGGGAGGAGAAGTTAGTTGCTCTATCATTTTTTAGTAACAAATTATCTTCTGTGTGTTTGTTTTCTTTGAGTTTTACATTAAAAATGTAACTTTTAGTACTGTACTTCCAGTAACTGTTGTTCCATTCACTATCACACTGATGCATATCTCCCTCTGCTAGTGTACAGAAATAGTTGACAATTGTAGAAAAACTCTATACTGATGGACATACTGTTCCATTAGTGCACTTACTCATTGAAGTTATTGTTTTGGACCAATAGTTCAGCACTGAGAAGAGGGAGCTAGCCCTGTAGTCCTTAAGTTTTTCTCATGATGCCAGAAGCAAAGTCTCACAAAAAATGCCACTGGTAATTGTTGAATTTTGAAAATGAATGCCCAAAATCTCCCTACACATAAGAGTATGTGAATCTTAAACTTCACCATGATGACTTAAACTGTCAGTTTGCAATCACCTCTCACACAGCTTTACCAAAAAGCTCTGACTGACTCAGCATGCCCCTCCAGAGTCCCCTATTCCATGATCCGAGTCCTACTCAGCTATGTCTATTACACAAAATACTACGTACATGAATCCATATCAAGACTGAACAACTCAGCTGTCATCGGAAGCCTGGGGACTTCATCCAAGCACATGTTTGGTTAAAAGAAATGTTACAGAGGGACAATGAAATTACAAGGAACAGTAATGTTCATACAAGCTTGTAAATTTCAGCTTTGTGTTTTTCTTTTAAAAGATAACATTATTATTTTGTATCTTTGCCCTACAGTAATATCACCTAAGAATTGTCATGGCTCACAGCCTAACAAACCTGCATTGCAATAAACAAACCAAAAAACCCAACACTACTACACAGATTTTGCTTACCAATCAGCAACGTAGATTAAATGAAATAGAACAAGAGGAAATAAATGATTGCCACCTTTTATAATGTTCAACTGGTATTATCTGTACTTTATTTAGAGACAAGAAAGAACAGAAAATATCTGCTTTCCAACCATCCTAAGCATTTTTTCTGGTGGCATTTTATTCAATTATATGTAGACCATTTCTGCCCTGAACCCTACTTTGCATATTTATTCTTCCTGCCATAAGAAATGCTTGTCCTATTTTCACAATTTACTATTCAGTACAACCGGTTTATGCACTTGTGCTGACAGAGAGGATTGTACAGCACGATACACACATGCTGTTGCCAAGTCCTTTGCCTCAATTTTCCCAAGCTTTTAGCTTTTGCTGCTCCCAAAGAGAAGAAATTTTCAGTGCTATCCAAACAACGTGAACATGGCAACAGCTGTTTTGGGGCAAATCTCAGGTCCGTTTAACCCAGGACCATGGCAGTCACTTGCAGTCATCAGAGGCAGTGACCTAGGGAAAAGCCCCATATTAGGACAATTCTTAAATACTCCAAGTAATTCCCTGGAACACTTTTCTGACTCCCGGCAATCTGTGTCTCAAAGACTTAATTACAAAAAAGAGACTGGGAGAGCTGGCCTACGACAACAGACTGTTTCAGAAGGGCTGGGAGGAAGAACAGGAGATGGCATATTTCAAAAGGGAAAAATATGTGCCCTCATCACACACACACACGCTACTTGGTTCCCCCCAACCGCATCCCTTGCTCCCGATATTGCCTTTGCCCTCAAAACGCACCGGTTTCCATATGGAAGAGGTGGCAAAACTGAAAAGTGTTTTTTTTTTTTTTCCTTCTTTCCTCACAAAACCTCCTCCTGACTGGAGTTGGCCTCCTGTTCCTATTCCACTTGACTAAACCCATCTTTGTCTCCTCCCACACTAGCTCCATCTGCCGCCCGTCTCTCCAGCAGAGCCAGATGCCAGCAAAGCAAGACTACTGTGGGAGGAGAAAGTTCTGTCGCTGGGATTTCTTCCCCTACACCCCGCAGGGGGCCAGTCTATGAAGCCTGGAGAGGAGACGGGGAGAGCAACTTCCTCTCTTCCACCCTCCTTTCCCCTCCTCATCTGTAAAGAAGGCAGCTGAGGACATTGAGCAAAAGAAGGGTATAACTTCCAAGGCGCACCCTGAAATGTTTGACTTTAATATTGATATAGCAAAAAAACCTCCAGACTCCAGCATAGCACCCGCCACATAAACGTGTAAGAAGACAGGAGTCCTGCCCCAAAGAGCTTACAGTCAAACAGAAGCAGAGACACACATTTGTGATAAGGAACAAACAAGACTGACTAGAGTGTAGACGACTGAGAAGGGAAAAAAAAAACACCTAGGATTTATAATCAGGAGAGATTTTAATGATGGAGGTGAAAAGACAATACTTTCTGGAGAGACACAAGTCAGAGAGAGAAGCTATGGATGCGTGGTGTTAAACTGAGAGGAGGATTGCATGTGGCAAGGGAAAGTGCCCGTAGAGAGGGAAAGACTAGAATGAAAGCAGACATGGGGAAAGACAAAATGCTTTTTTATTCGTTTGAGGCAATCTTGCCATGAGGCAGGAGGAGAAGAAGTACAGGTAAGAACTTTAGACAAAAAGGAAGACAGTCTAGGGACGGAGGAGCATCTGCGGGAGCAGCCTCGCCAGGGACGGTGGCAAGAATTGAAGTGTCACCGGGTGAGAAGAAGAGCTGATGAAAAAACAAGCAAGCGTGCATATGTGCGAGACGGAGGAAACGACACAGACTTCATTTCTCCCAGAGAAAGAATTGGGGGAACCCAGGAGACCAAAGAGACTGGAAACAAGATGAGGAGCAAGGGTGGTTGTATGGGCGCAACAGAAAGTTTGGAGTGGGGCTGGCAGGACAGGAAGAAAGTGAGGAAACGCAGGGATCTAACAGCAAAACCAGGATTATGTATTAGAAGCTGAAAGAGCACATGTAAATTAAAGAGACAACATAACGAGAAAGATGAAGAAGTTGAATAGACAGGGAAAGGAAGAGGGAAATGGATCACATTGAAACAGACTAAGGAAAAGGGCTCACTGCGGAATGAATGGAGTGACAGGAAGGGGAAAAAAACAGGAGAGCATAAATGCAAAGATGATAAATAACATTAGCTAATAAAAGGCATTATGTAAAAAAACCCATACAGGAAAACTGGGAGTGTATATAAGAGTGACTGGAAATGAAGTCCACTGAATTCTCACTGTCACTGTAAACTCTCAGGGCTTGCCACATCTAGGTATCCCAACACTTTAATCTTCTTCTTCACTTGGAAAAATTCTGCTCCCTGGTCCTCCCCACCCTCCAACTTTTGCGCTGCAGTTGCACCTTTATGCCGTTTGTTTCACTATTTCCAGTGGCAACTCTTTTGTTACGTTCAGATGGGGAAAAGATGGTATTTTGTCAAATACCCTACCCACAAAGAAACGTGCCGAAATCTCGAGTTCCCTTCCCCCTGTGCCCGCAACGCTCTTTCATTCATTCTTCTTATAAAAAATGAGAATAATAATAATAATTTTAAAAAAAGCTAGGGAAACTCAGCCACACAGGGGTACGTGAAGTCCAAAATACTCACAGAGCCTTCCCACTACGCCCCAGGTTCCCCCCCCCCGCCCTGTGCCCAGGCTGAGGGTTCCCCCCGTCCCCCGCGGGCGGCCGGGGGCTGCGCTCCGCGCCCCGCGCCCCGCCATTGAAATACTGCTCCGCTTTGCACGCTGTAGCACATAAAATCCAAAGGAAGGTTTGCAAGAAAAACACCCTGGGCTGAGACACGAAATCCAACCGGCTTCCAGTGCTGGGTGCGAGTACGATCATAGTGAACTGTGCTTCAGCGGAGGGGGGGGGGGGGGCTCTTTTTCTCCTCCTCCCCTTTCTCTTCTC